GCAGGCCATAGAAGCTAGGATGCTCTCTCCCAAAGCTAGTCATAAAACCTCGAAACAGTATTCGAACCTTCTCCCACCTTTCTGAGAGAGCTGCCCATAAAGCAATTCTCTGCTCTACCTTGGCTAATATCGATCACAAGACTTTTGTTCTGGGTAGGGTGGGGCCTTTCCCATCTCCAGGAGAAAGAATGCTGCAGAAAGAGGTCGAGAAGAATCTGAACAGACAGGCCTGGCTGGATTTCTCCCTGCCTGTTACCATTAGGTCACGCTTGCTCATTTTGTGCGATCACATTCGCCCGCCCGGGACTGTCTGCCCTTCATCAGATCTAAGCCTGAAAATGGACAGTTTCCATTTTCTTTTTTCAAACTTGTCTTTCACTTAAACAATACATTTATTTATTTATTTATTTGCGAGACAGAGGAGAGAGAGAAAGAGAGAGCGCATGCTGAGTGAGGAGAAGGTATTACACCTTGCTGCCGCTGTAGTTTCTTAGTCTTGGCCAAATGTTGCAGTTAAAGAAATGGGCAGCCTCTTCGAGGAGCTACCTTTAGGGTGACATCGTGGGAGTGCGTTGGAGCCTCAGCTTTGGAGGCACCGATCTTGATGTTGTCAGTTCACTTGGAGTGGATGAGGTTCTTGTGGACTGAATCATGTTTATGTCCATTTGAAAGAGAGGGATGGCTATCATGACACCAGTATGGCTCTCAGTATGGAAGATACACTGGTATTTGGCACCTGATAGACTGGTTTAACATCCCTGTCCCTTCCCCAAACTGGGGCCATCATCCATTCGGAATGACCAGTCTCTGGCTGTTTCTAAAGTAAATTGGATTTCAGAATTAGGCAGTGGTTTTTGGTGATCTATTGCTGCCTAATAAATCATCTGAAAACTTCCTGAGTTACTATGAGTTTTATTAACCATTATCACTTTGTTATTATCCCTCATGGTTCTGGGGGTTGACAGGGCTCAAAAAAGGGGAGTGAATAGGAAGGTTCTTGATTCAGCGTGATGAGTGAGCCTGGTGTGGCCAGTACAGGGGTGCGAGACGAAGTCCCTGCCCCTGGATGGCAAGGGCACAGAGCTGCAAGGAAAGGAAGCTCGTCTAAGCCCACCCTCCCCTCCTCCCCCCTCCCCCTTCCCGGGGAGGTACTTGTAAATGGGCCAGTGCCCTACCTGGGCCCCTCAGCGGCTGGTGGGGCAAGTAATGGGTGGAGGGCGGAAAGACTCCCCTCAGCACCTGGTTCCTCGGGGGAGGGCCCAAGTAGAGGGGGGCAGCCTTGGGGACCCTCCCTGCCCTGAGTGAGGTCTCTGTTGTGCAGCGTCTCTGAGGTCATACATAGCTAGGTGAGGTGGCGCAGGGGTTTCTGTGACCTGGAGCAGCCTGGGAGGGGGCCCCGGGCAGCCTCAACTCCCACAGCTCACACCCACCCCTGGTTCAGAATGTCAGATTGAAGCCCCCCCCCCCCCCCGCGCGGCATCGGACTCACAGGTTCAGTAATATGGGCCCCAGGGTGACTCTGGGGGACAGGATGACCTTGGTCCCTTCCGCCGGGCGTGGCAGGAACACCCCCCCTCTGCCCATCTCAGGCCTGGCGCCCTCGGCTTTGGTCCCCCCAAGTCTGGGGGCGGGTCGGATGCCCTCCCTGCTCCCTGAGCTGTGCCCTCCCAGCTGCCCAGGCCTCTGCCCGACCCAGGACGGTGGCGGGAGGGCAGGGGTCTGCCTGCCCAGCCCCTGGATCGCATTGGTGCGCTGCTGGTGAGGACGGGAAAACACACAAGACGGCGCGCGGACCGGAAGTCAGACTGGGTGCGGATTGGGAGTGCGGCTATGCAGTGAGTCTCTGAGATTCTTAATTGCTTAAAGGTTCGTCTTTCTTTTTTCCCCTTTTTCGCAATCCTGGAGGAGTCCTTGCTTGTGGCTTGGTCCAGCGGGAGCGGGCAGTGGCACAGCCCTGCCTGCCACTCTCACGCTCGCCCCAAGTGTGAGAAATAGACACACTCATCCCCGCACCAAGACTGATGCAAAAACAACGCTGGACGCATGTTTGCACCGTCCATGTAGTACCAGACCCAGTCCAGCCCCTTCCTCTGCTTGAGTGTGTGTGGGGGGGTGCGGATAGTCACGGGAGCCCCATGGGAGTCGACTGAGTTGTGGCAGGGCCACCCGGTTTGGCCTGAGACCCTCACATCAAGCCCACCCAAGGATCACGCGCAGGGCAGCAACCTCACCCCGAGGCCCCAACCCACACCCCTGCTGTGCCCGCTGGCCGGAATGGGCCATGCCAGCAGGCCTCGGGGTGTGTGTGTGTGTGGGGGCGCTGGGCAGCCCCGGCCCAAGCTCTCTGGTGTCAGGTGGGCTTGCACACGGCCCAGGAATGGGGAGGAGGGCTCAGGGAACGCAGGGAGGTTTCCAGCCCCTGCCCCGCCCCCATGGCTGCGTCTCTGCGCATGAGCCGCTCCGGGGCCGACTCCGAAGCGCCCCCCAGCGGGAGGCGGGAGTCCCTGGCACAGCTCTCACCGCCGCGGAGATCTGAAACGGTTGATGTAGGCAGTGAGAGAAATACGTTAGTATCTTTTCTCGGAGCCCACTGGGGCGCCATACTCATTCAAAATGCGTTTTGCTTAAAAAAAAAAAATAGGTTTTGTGCATTTGGGTTTGAGCTTTTTTTTTTCTTTCCTTATCTTCTTTCCTATGTGACATCTGCTATTTTCTGTTTCCTTTTTCTCTGAAACATTCAGGAATTAAGTGACTAAGGCAGAGAACCGTAAGTCGTCGTGGCCTCCAATGGCCTAACTAATCCTGGTGACGCTCTTGAACATTTTCTCTCTTTCTCTCTCTCTCTCTCTCTCTCTCTCAAGTGCACATGGAATCAAACGAAAAAGACAAAACCAAGTATTGTGTTAACCCTGCCCCGCCCCACAAACCCTTAACATCTTAAATAGGAAGCGAGTGTTTTGCTTTCTCATCAAAAGGCAGGATACTATACTAAGGTGGGTACAATAGTGTGTCCTGTGTCGCTCTGCTCCCAGTCCCTGACCTTCTGCGCGGGAATCTTGTACTTCCAGGAGTCACCTCCCAGATGTAGCTGCCGAGGCCCGGAGGCCAGGCCCCGGGCCAGGCCAGTACGATCTCTGCGCCCTCCTCCAGGGTGGGGGATGGAGCCTGCGGGGCGGGGGTGGGGGGTGTCTCTGCTCAGACCCTCAGGCCCAGGCGCTGGAACTCCAGCCCAAGGCTCCAGTTTTCTGTTTCCCACCCTCCCTCTGGGGGCTGGGGTGCCACGTGGATAGCTTGGCCCTCACTACCCAAACAGCACGCTGAACACACAGATCACTTGGGTGCCTGAATTCAGGCTGTGTCTTTCGGCAGGAGGTCTCTGGAGGGGTGGGGGTAGGGATTTGAACTTGGAAGAAAAACAAGAGCAAGAAAAGTATGAAGCAAAATGAAGATTAACGCCTGCTGGCGCAGCCCAGCAGCTCTCAGAGGCTGAGGGCAGTGAACCAGAGAGATGACCTTGGTCTGCCCTTCAGCCTGACTTGGGGGGGGGCATGGAGATGCTGGCTGAGAAAGGCGGAGGTGAGGGGTAAGAGTGGGGCTGAGTTGGCCGGCGCTGCGGCTCACTAGGCTAATCCTGCACCTAGCGGCGCCGGCACACCGGGTTCTAGTCCCGGTCGGGGCGCCGGATTCTGTCCCGGTTGCCCCTCTTCCAGGCCAACTCTCTGCTGTGGCCAGGGAGTGCAGTGGAGGATGGCCCAGGTGCTTGGGCCCTGCACCCCATGGGAGACCAGGAGAAGCACCTGGCTCCTGCCATCGGATCAGCGTGGTGCGCCGGCCGCGGCGGCCATTGGAGGGTGAACCAACAGCAAAGGAAGACCTTTCTCTCTGTCTCTCTCTCTCACTGTCCACTCTGCCTGTCAAAAAAAAAAAAAAAAAAAGAGTGGGGCTGAGCCTGTGGGCGGGGACTAGCCCTGCAACTGCTCAGAGTAGCCCTCCCCCTCCCCATCTCCCAGGGAATCCACGTTTTGGTGAGCTCCTCCCATATCTCTTGCTGGCTAGGCAAGGACTACTGCCCTCCCAGGCTCAAGGTCTCACAGGCACTGGGGGTGGGGGAGGGGAGGTGGCAGGATGAAGGGGGGATGTCACTTCCGCCTCTTTGCCTCTTCGCGGCTTCCCTATCACTCAGGTGTGTTGGGCTCCTGGCCCCACCTGGGAGCTCACACCCTTCCCCTGGGCCCAGAATGGAGGCTCGTGGGCTCAGGATGCCCGGGCACCCTCAGGGAGGAAAACGCACAGGTGCCCAGCCGCCCGTCACCATCATGAACCCAAGAGGTAACAAGGTCAGCGGGATGGAAAGAGTTGAGGAAGGCGGAGGGAGAGTGACACGGGCTTGGGGTCACCGCTGACAATAGAAAAATTCCGAGAGGTCCTAAATTTAATTCCAACCGTCGGAGGATGGAGGGAAGGTAGCAAAGGAGAGAAGGGGGGATGTAATGAATAGTTGTGGGTGAAACCAACCAAGACTGTTTCACACTCCTGAATGCGTGTTGGAACTTCTTAAATCCCATCGGAGCCACCTGCCCTGTCTACACGTGAACTTTCCAGACTGCCACCACCAGCCAATCCAGAAACACCCACCACTTCTCCCGAAGGACTGCGCCTGTCCCAAAGCCTTCCCGGCTTTGCCGTATCCTGCCACCTTTATCTACAGCCAATGGAGGCTCAGTGCTGTGTTTTCTGTCCTATGCTTCCCATCTGTGCTGTCCGTGCTCCCTTGTGCTATAAAATACTCTTCGCTTTAGGTCTAGTAACCATTTTTTCCCAACTGCCATCTAGCCTTGTTGCTCGTAGTTCCAGACTCTTGTCCTGTTATGCCCGCAGCCCGTGGTCCCCCGAAAATCACACCACCAGAGATCGAAGTTGAAGCCAATTAGCAGGGTCGTTTTTATTACGAGTTCGAACCCGGGCCTCTCTGTGCCTCCAGGAGAGGAAGCCCCCGAGAAGCCCCGAGCCCAATTCTTACAGAGCTTTTATTATCACGTACAAGCAGGCTTTAGGGGAATGCTATAGATCAAGTTGACACTTCTGATAAGTCCCGAGACACCTGTCGCGGACTCCAGGGTAGGGGCTGGTTGGTATCTCAAGCTTTAAACCTCCCTTTTACATTCCTGGACCTGGGTCAGGGTAGGGTCACATCTGGCCAGGTGGAGGAGGGAAGGGGGAGTGTACGATTCGATAATCAACTTCATGTAATTACTGGATTACTTAGCTCAAAGACACTTAGCATTGCTTATTGTTACTACTAGTTGCCTAATAAGCTAGCACTATTATAATAGTATAGTAAAAGCATAGTAAAAGCTGGTTGTGCAGGTGTCTTCTCATTTCCCACCTTTCACATGAGACTTATTTGGAGCCAATCTTGGCTCTTTTATAGGTCTTAAGCTTTATTTCCTGTTCATCTAAGGGTTGGTACTGTGTCCGCAGCACCGTAAGCTGAACCGTGTTTATCCTGTCTTTAACAAATGTTACTAGTTTGTTGATCACTCAGGGGCCTATGGTTAAGATTATTATTAACAGAAGTAGAGGGCCAGTTATAGCCGATAATAAGGTTGTTAGCCAAGGAGAATAATTAAACCATGATTCAAACCATCCTTCTTGTTGTTCCCTTTCTCTTTTTCTTTTTTCTAGCCCATCGCGTACTTTAGTCATGGAGTTCTCTACTACCCCTGTGTGGTCGGCATAGAAACAACACTCCTCCCCCAAGGCGGCACACAGTCCTCCCTGCTGTAGAAACAGGAAGTCCAGTCCTCGTCTATTTTGGAGGACAACTTCCGACAGGGATCTGAGAGACTTGGTTAAGCCAGAGATAGATCAGTCAGTTCTCGCTAAGTCTTCATCTATCGCCAGTCGGAGAGCCGAATACTGGCTTCCTTGCTTGGCTACTGCAGTAGCTCCCAACCCTGTCCCTGCCAGTCCTAGCAGTCCAGCTACAGTGATTAAAGCGGTCACCACCTCCCGGCACTCTCTGCTGAGTGACGCGGTGGGCCTTAGGCTGGACAGGAGTTCCTTATAGGGATGATATATTATTCGAGGGTACAATCTAACTAGAAGGCACCATTCATTATTGCTTTGTAACACTGTCCCTGACACACACGGAGTCACTCCCGAAGCATTACAGCCCACCACGTATTTCCTGGCGCTGGGTAGAACAGGGAGGCATTGCTGAGGACAGTGTGACTGCACATTGGTCCAGTAGAAACTGTGGTGGATATGCATGTCCCATGACCCCGCACGACCTGCAAGGTGGTCCCAGATTCCATCTGTCTCTGCCAGCGGCAGCCCTCTTGGGTTGTCCCAGAGAGTGAGAGACTTGTCACAGCTGACGCCTCATAATAGCGTGGCGAGGCCTGATAACATAGCCAGCAGGAATTAGTTAAGTTAGGGAAAGAAGTGTTTAAGGCTATGTAAGCACTATTTAAGAGTCGCCACAGCGGACCAGATTGTTGTTGGAGTTTTGACTTTTTCCTGTTACTGGCTGTGAGGCAGGTCGGGCCCTGTCTTTGCGCGCCTCTTTTGATTTTGAACCTTTGCCTCGGCTGGTCATAATGGGTCGGTCCTTGCCCTTTTTTACTTGGGGAGGAGGACTTGGATTGGGTCTGGGTCTTTGGGTTGGTGAGGGCTCAGGCTCGGAAATAAGGAACTTATTCGGCCCCACCCCAATTGTGTGGCTCGGTTGAGACTGCCACTTGATTATAAACTGAATGCCCGGGTCAGACCCGGAGACATATAGTCTCAGTCCCCATGTCTTTCCCTTAACCCATTGAGAATTCTGTATTCCTTGCCATGTTTTTACCTTAATTTGGATTGGGTTTCTTTTTCCCACTTGAGGACTTGACCACCCACTCTGGCCATCTCCAGATTTTTGTCCCTAGGAGTCAACCATGAGGCTATTGTCTCACACCCCCAGTGATAGCAGTAATAATCGCCTGCCCCCCCCCCCCAAGTCTGGGGAGGTTTCTGCAGGACAGACATACAATTTAGTTTGTTGTAAGTTGGCCTCTATACCAGTTTGCCTGCACCCCACCAATTTTACCCCGGGATTCCAATGCCAATCGGCTGGTGAGGTAAATGTCTTAACTCCAGGCCTGGAGATCAGCCTCGTGTCCACTTCCTGCCACAGGGTGCAGAGATCTACGGTGAACGTGGGCTGTCCTGTGCCACTATGGCGGTCAATTACTCTTCCCGACACACTCAAGGTCCAGTAGCCTGGTGGAGGTTGGTGAGGAATGATGTCCAAAGTCACTCTCCCCCCAACAGACAGAATTAGTAGGCTTATGAGGTCAGGCCTCATTTCTCGGGTGATCTGCAGCCTGTGGGATACGACTTAATCAAAGCTTCAGGGAGTGACTTATATCTCGGGTTTTGTTGACCCTCCAAGTCGACTTGGATGTAAGAGGTTCTATGAGATCCTGGAATGGGTCCGCTGATTTAGCGTGAGTGTGATGAACCCAGGAGGACACTCCGTCTACCTTGAGGGCAGTGGGGGTTGTCAAGAAGACTTGGAAGGGTCCCTTCCACCTGGGTTCCAAGTTTTCCCGTCGGTGGCGTTTCACGAACACCCAGTCGCCCGGCCGGTAGCTGTGGGGCACCGGAGGAGGCCCTGTCTCGTACAGGTCTTTCAGTTTTGGCCACACCTGTTCATGGACCCCCTGCAGGATTTGGAGTGAAGACAGGAGTTCAAAATCGTCATCATTTTTAATCAGATTTTCTTTAAGATTAAGTATGATGGGAGGTGGCCTGCCAAACAAAATAAGGTATGATGGGAGGTGACCTGCCAAACAAAATTTCATAGGGAGTAAGCCCCAGTTTGTATGGGGAATTGCGAACCCTATACAGAGCGTAGGAGGATGGCTACCCAGTTTGCGCCAGTCTCCATGGTCAATTTGGTTAAAGTCTCCTTTAATGTTCTGTTCATTTTTTCTACCTGTCCTGAACTTTGGGGCCTGTATGCACAATGTAATTTCCAATCCGCCCCGAGTATGGAAGCCAACCCCTGACTTACCTTAGAGACAAACGCCGGTCCATTGTCCGAGCCTATCATTACTGGAAATCCATACCTGGGTAAGATGTCCTCCAGTATCTTTTTGGCCACCACCTGGGCTGTTTCATTCTTAGTGGGAAAGGCTTCTACCCATCCTGAAAAGGTATCTACAAAAACGAATAAGTATTTATACCCGTACTTTCCTGGCTTTACCTCAGTAAAATCTACTTCCCAATAGGCTCCTGGTTTATCTCCTCGCTGTCTTGTTCCAGAATTCTGAGCGTTCTTTCCTGCATTAGTGAGTTGACAGACTTTGCATTTGACAACAACTTGGTCAATTTTGCTGGGGGCCTCTTTTATTCGTAGTTTCGTCTGTCTCATTAAGTCCTGTATCCTCCTGGTGCCTAGGTGAGTGCTGTGGTGGATTTTTTGTAATACTCTTTCTCCTAGTTTTTCGGGGAGTATGGTGCGACATTCAGAGTCTCTCCACCACCCATCAAGGAGCTGTGCCACAGGCAGTGTTTTTACCCATTGCAGATCTTCTTCGGTGTACTCCGGCGTTGGAGGCAAGTTCCTGGGTCCTGGATCAGGGAATTGTTGTTGTGCGACTATAGCCTGAATTGGGGACATAGCTATTTTCTTAGCAGTCTGATCAGCAAAATAATTGCCCCTTGACACGGGGTCTATAGGTTTTTGGTGGCCCGGGCAATGCACAGTTGCCAATCTTTTTGGCTCCCATAAAGTGGCTAGGAGAGCTAAGATTTCTCCTTTGTTCTTTATGGTTTTTCCCTCTGCTGTCAGGAGACCTCTTTCCCGATATATAGCCCCATGTATATGGGCGGTGGCAAAGGCGTACCGGCTATCAGTGTAGACCGTAAGTCTTTTTCCCTTTCCCAGTTTTAAAGCTTGGGTTAGGGCTATCAGTTCCGCTCTCTGTGCTGAGGTGTCTGCCGGCAGGGGCTCGGCCCATATTATCTCAGTCTCTGAAGCCACCGCTGCCCCCGCATACCTCTGTCCTTGATGCACGAAGCTGCTCCCGTCGGTAAACCAGGTTACCTCAGTGTTGGGCAGGGGTTGATCTCGTAGATCCTCTCTTACTCCGTGCACCTGGGCTAACACTTCGGCACAATCATGGAGTGGGGCCTCCAGGTCCGGGTCAGGGAGCAGGGAGGCGGGGTTTAGGGTGGTTGGTGGCTAAAAGAAAATTCTGAGAGGGTTTAGCAACAGCCCTTGGTAGTGAGTTAGCCATGCATTGCTAAGCCATCAGTTGGGAGGCTGCTTTAGGAGGCCTTCAACAGCGTGGGGTGTGGTGACCTGCGGTTCTTGCCCCATGGTTAGCTTGTCTGTATCTTTTACCATCAGGGCTGTGGCCGCTATCATTCTGAGACAAGGGGGCCATCCGGTGGCTACAGAGTCAAGTTTCTTTGATAAGTACGCTACAGGCCATTTCCAAGGGCCTACGGGCTGAGTCAGAACTCCCTTAGCTACCCCCTTACTCTCGTCCACAAACAGTTGAAAAGGCTTGGAGGCATCGGGGAGTCCCAGCGCTGGGGCCGAGAGCAGCGCTGTGTTTATCTGCTGAAAGGCTTGTTCAGCCTCCTCTGTCCATTGGAAGGGCTGCCGATCTTTTGTCATCAGGTAGAGGGATTTGGCCAATTCAGCAAACCCAGGGATCCACAATCAGCAGAACCCGGCTGACCCCCAAAACTCCCGAACCTGTCGTTGCGACTGCAGTTGGGGGATTCGGAGCACAGTCTCCCTGTGTGCAGGGGTCAGCCATCGTTGCCCCCCTTTCAATAGGTACCCCAGGTATGTTACCTCGGTCTTGCAGAGTTGGGCCTTTCTAGCGGATGCTCTGTAGCCCAGGCTCCCCAAAGTGTGCAAGAGGTCCTCCGTTCCTCGGGTGCATTCCTTGAGGGTCTGTGCTGCTATCAGTAAATCATCTACATATTGTAAGAGGGTTAGGTTTAGGTGTGTCTGTCGGTACTCACTCAGGTCTCCATGAAGAGCCTCATCGAATAGGGTGGGAGAGTTTTTAAACCCTTGTGGCAGCCGTGTCCAAGTTAGCTGTCCATTGATGCCTCTTTCTGGGTCCGTCCATTCAAAGGCGAAAAGCTCTTGGCTCTTAGGTGTTAGGGGTAAGCTAAAAAAAGCATCTTTCAGATCTAAAACAGTATACCATTGTTTTTCGGGACTGAGAGCACTTAGAAGGGTGTAGGGGTTTGGCACTGTTGGATGGATATCAATAGTTCTTTTGTTAACCTCCCTCAAGTCCTGTACGGGCCAATAGTCCCCTGTGGTGGGCTTACGCACTGGCAGTAGAGGTGTGTTCCAGGCCGATTGGCACGGTCGCAGAACTCCCTGGTCTAGGAGGCACCGAATGTGGGGTGTAATTCCCACTCTTGCTTCTATGGGCATAAGGTATTGTCGAACCTGGACCAGATCCGCTCCAGGTTTTGTCTCTATGTATATGGCCGGTCAGTGGGTGGCCAGTCCCATTCCCCCAGTCTCAGCCCACGCCTCCAGGAAGCGCTGGACCCACCGGTCAATTTTTTGTCCAGGCTCCTCAGGTTGTTGGTGAATACGGTATTCATCTTCCAGGGACAGAGTTAATATTGAAACTGGTCCACCTTGTGAATCCGTCACCTTTGGCCCATCAGGTAGGAAGCAAATTTGGGCTCCTATTTTAGTTAGTAAGTCTCTCCCCAGAAGGGGGTATGGACTTTCAGGGATGACCAAGAAAGAACGGGACACTCTGTTGGTCCCCAAGTCCACAGTTCTTTTAGTTGTCCATGGGTACTTTTTGATCCCTGTGGCTCCTTGCACCCAAGAAGAGGTGGCTGATAACTTCCCTCTGGGGCTAGTGAGAACTGAGTGCTGGGCTCTTGTGTCTACCAAAAACTGGACAGGATTCCCCTCCACTCGTAGAGTTACCCTGGGTTTGGGGAGGGGGTCTGAACCCCGTCCCCCCTAATCTTCAGAATCTTGGGTCACTAGTACAGCAGGGGGTTGCGTGGGAGGCGTTTCCTGCCATCGGCCTGGCTTGGCCCTTTTCTTTTTCGGACAGTCTCTAGCCCAGTGGCCGATCTCCTTGCAATAGGCACACTGGTTTTATCTAATTTCTTATAGGGTGTTTTTGGGCGTGTGGAATGTTCCTGCGGTTGCTTCCCTTGAACTGCGGCCGCCAGTACTCTCGTCATCTTTTCTGTTGCCCTCAACTGCTTCTCTTCAGGGGCATCCCTGTTATTAAAAACCCTCTGAGCAATCCTAAGTAAATCCTGAATTTTCCCTCCAGGTCTTCTAATTTCTGTACTTCTTTTTAATGTCAGGAGCAGCCTGATTTACAAACAACATAACTACTGCTGCTTGATTTTCGGGGGCCTCTGGATCCATAGGCGTGAACTGTCTGAAGGCTTCCATTAATCTTTCTAAATACCCTGAAGGAGACTCTGTCTTTCCTTAATTAACTGCATATACCTTGGCCAAATTAGTGGGCTTGCGTGCCACTGCCCGGAGACCCGCCATTAGAGTCTGGAGATAAACCCATAGCCGTCCCCTACCTTCTGCCGTGTTGTAGTCCCAGCCATTTTGTGGGGGTCTGGTCAAAGGAAAAGCATCATTGATTAAATCTGGGTTGGCTGTGGGTTGACCATTGTCACCAGGAACCAATTTCCTGGCTTCTAACTGGATTCGTCCTCACTCCTCTGTGGTAAACAGGATTCGGAGGAGTTGTTGGCAGTCATCCCAGGTGGGTTGATGAGTAAACACAACGCTATCTAAAAGAGAAATCAAATCTTTGGGATTGTCAGAAAAATGGGCATTTTGAGTCTTCCAATTATAGAGGTCACTGGTGGAGAAGGGCCAATACTGAAGTCTAGGGTTCCCGGTGCCATCGGGCGGCCCGATTTCTCGTAATGGTAGGGCCACCGTGGAGTCGGGATGGCGCGGGCTCGCTACTTGTTGGGTGCGACCCCTCGTCCTTTCTGCTGGTCCCCCTGAGTCAGCCCCTGCTTCTCTCTCTCCCTCCAGTGGGGCTGCCCGTGCTCCCTCGTTCACCAGCTCTGCAGGCCTAGGATGAGGGAGAAGGTATGGAGGAGGGTCAAGGGGTAGGGGATCTGAACTGTCAGGCAGGACCAGGTAAAGAGGAGCTGAGGGTTTAGTGGCTTGGGGTTTAGCAGCGGCCTCCCTTGGGGGTGTGGGTTTTGCTGACTCGCCCACTCCTGTGCACTGTAGGGCTAGAATTTTAGCTACGGGAAGGAAAGGCGCCAGCCAGGCCGGTGGGTTGTTTATTAGATCTTGCCAGACAAGAATGTAGGGGATTTGATCTGGGTAGCCATTCGGTTCTGAGAGAAAGATTTTCTCTTTAACCCTCCGTACGACTGACCAGTCGAGAGTGCCCTCTGGAGGCCATCCAACACCAAAAGCTGGCCACTCTGACCTACAGAGAGTGGCAAGTTTGTCCTTCCTGATTTCCACACTTAAATTAGAAGCTCTATTCCTCATGTCTCTGAAATGATCCATTATGATGGTGAGGGGGGTGGTCTGCGTCTGCCCCATCGTGGACCTACAATCCCTGGTTAAAAAGGGGGATTTTTGGAACGAAGGTAAGGTTAGATAAAGGAACAAAGCAGGAACGTGTAGAGTGGCTGTCCTCTTTTCTCATCCAAAAGTAGTAACCTGAAAAATAACAGCCTCAAACTGAAAGCTTTCGGTAGAACATGCAAGCACACTGACACACAGATACAGATCGCAGGCGCGTTGGGCTGTCTCTGCCCGACCAGATGGACTACAATTTACACTGATAGTCCCAGATGGGGTCCGAGGAATGTCTCTCAACAGCCCCACTGACAGTGCTATAGCACGTCCGCCAGGACTTTTCGTCGGCCCAGATACAGAACCTATAGGCAACTCAGATAATACAGTCGACTACACAAATACAATGCTGGCAAACCCACCCGGGCTGGTCCTTCCACGACCCTTCAATGAGGTGTCTGGGTGGGCTTCGGTGAATCCCGGACGAGCCCCCAAAATTTGTTATGCCCGCAGTCCATGGTGCCCTGAAAATCACACCACCAGAGACCGAAGTTGAAGCCAATTAGCAGGGTCGTTTTTATTACGAGTTCGAACCTGGGCCTCTCTGTGTCTCCAGGAGAGGAAGCCCCCGAGAAGCCCCGAGCCCAATTCTTACAGAGCTTTTATTATCATGTACAAGCAGGCTTTAGGGGAATGCTATAGATCAAGTTGACACTTTTGATAAGTCCGACACCTGTCGTGGACTCCAGGGTAGGGGCTGGTTGTTAGCTCAAGCTTTAAACCTCCCTTTTACATTCCTGGACCTGGGTCAGGGTAGGGTCACATCTGGCCAGGTGGAGGGAAGGGGGAGTGTACAATAGGATAATCAACTTAATGTAGTTACTGGATTACTTAGCTCAAAGACACTTAGCATTGCTTATTATTACTACTAGTTGCCTAATAAGCTAGCACTATTATAATGGATAATGAGGGCATAGTAAAAGCTGGTTGTGCAGGTGTCTTCTCAGTCCTAGGTCCTGGTCCTACTGCCTAGCGTCTGTAATCCCTCAAAAAAACCCTCTTAGTTCAGAGAGCTGTTGGTCACAAGAGTTTGGATTGACCAACCACCCGGAAGTGGAACCAGGGCTCATTTCTAAGCATGCCGTGGAAACTTGAAGAAAGGAGAGAGCCTCCCACACCTCACTCTTCTATGGCAAAGGGCTGCTGTCTCCATGTAACCACTTAGGCCTCCCAGAGGGTGCTGGGGGGGCAGGCCACACCCACCACTCATCTCTGATTGTGAGCTCTGGTTGGTCTATTGCTCTGGACTTCCAGGAGATAAGTCCTTTGTGGCAGGCTTCGTCTGCAGGCTCCCCTCCTTGGGGCCCAGGGGATGCTCACATTTTCTGTTACTAGCCAGAAAGAAGTACACAAAGCACAGAGAGAAGGACACAGAGAAGGACCTTACTTTGGAGGGGCCTGGCTGGCTTCAGGATGCCCTGGCTGCTGCTATGGCTCAGCACCATAGACAGGTGCTACTGCTGCAATGTTCTTTTTTATAGATTTATTTATTTATTTAAAAGGCAGGGTTACAGAGAGAGAAAGACAGAGAGACAGAGAGAAAGAGATCTTCCATCTACTGGTTCACTCTCCAGATGGCCGCAACAGCAGGGCTGGGCCAGAATGAAGCCAGGAGCCAGGAACTCCTCTGGGTCTCCCACGTGGGTGCAGGGGCCTGAGCACTTGGGCCATCTTCTGCTACTTTTCCCAGGCCATTAGCAGGGAGCTGGATCGGAGGTAGTGTGACGCTTGTATGGGATACTGCTGTGGCAGGCGGCAGCTTAACCTGCTGTGTCACGATACCAGCCCCAAAATGTTCTTTATCACACCTTGGACTTTTCCTCCTTCTTCCAGAACATCCCTTGAGGAGTTCCTTAAGTGGGTGTCAGTTGCTGGTAAAACCTCAACTGATAATGAAAATTGTCATTTTTCCACCTTTCTTCCTGAAATACAGTTTATCTCAGTATAAGATTCAAGTTGGCCGGCGCTGCAGCTCACTAGGCTAATCCTCCGCCTGCGGCGCCAGCACACTGGGTTCTAGTCCTGGTTGGGGTGCCGGATTCTGTCCCAGTTGCTCCTCTTCCAGTCCAGCTTTCTGCTGTGGCCTGGGAAGGCAGTGGAGGATGGCCCAAGTGCTTGGGCCCTGCACCCACATGGGAGACCCTGGCTCCTGGCTTCGGTCTGGCCTAGCCCTGACCGTTGCGGCCATTTGGGGAGTGAACCAGTGGATGAAGATATCTCTCTCTCTCTCTCTCTCTGTCTCCCTCTCCTTCTCTGTAACTCTGACTTTCAAATAAATAAATCTTTTTCAAAAAAAGACAATAACAAGTGCTGACAAGGAGGTAAAGAAATGGGAACTCTCATTGGTTGCTGATGGAAATATACAATGTGTAGCTGTTCTGGGAAGAAGCCTGGTGGTTCCTTAGAATGTTAAACATAGTTGCCATGCGATCCAGCAGTTGCACCCCTAAGGATACACACAAGAGAAATGAAAACAAATCCTCTGGGGAACTTGTATGTGGATGTTGTGCCTGTGTTAGTCATGATGGACAAATGCCTAGCAACTGATCACTGCATCCACAAAAATATAGTTTATCCATATAATGGGAAGTTAATCCACCATAATAAGGGATGAAGTACTGTCGCATGCTCTAACACAGATGGACCTTGAAAATCTGCTTAGTGAAAGAAACCTGCCACCCAGGACCACACAGAGCATCGTTCCGTTTATGTGAAATGCCCTGGAGGGGCCAAACTAGAGCTAGGAAGTAGTTTCCTGCTGCCAGGGGGCTGGCGGGTGGGGAACGGGGAGTGACTAAGGGGTAGGGAGGGAGGGATTTCTTCTGGGGGTCATGAAAGGGTTCTGGATGTAGAGAGTGGTAACGGTGGCACAACTTGGTGAACACATGAACAAGCACCTGATTGTACCCTTTCAAAGCAGCGCTGCATCATACACGAGGCTGCGTGTAGCACAGTGGTGCTAGAAGATTGTGACTGTCGTAACACGCGGCAGGGGAACACCTTTGTGGTGACGCTAGTGGAAAGGAGCTACTGCACTGGCTGTCACATATGAGTGTAGCACAATTATGTGCAGTACGTAATACGTGACCGTGAAAACCTCTGCTGTGACACAGCGCGCCGTGTCACGCTGGCCGCAGCCTCGCACATCTTGTGTTGATGACACAACCATCTGCCGACACCTCTCTCAGAATGTGTCCCTGTTGTTAAGCAACACTTGATGGTGGTTTTTTTTTTTTTTTAAAGGATTTATTTATTTATTTGAAAGGCAGAGTTACACAGAGAGAGATGGAGAGACAGAGAGAGAGAGAGGTCTTCCATCTTCTGGGTCACTTCCCACGTAGCCATAATAACCCAGGGCTGGGCCAGGCCAAAGCCAGGAGCCAGGAGCTTTTTCCTGGTCTCCCACGTGGGTGCAGGGGCCCAAGGACTCGGGCCATCTTCTACTGCTTTCCCAGGTCATAGCAGAGAGCTGGATCGGAAGTAGAGCCGCCGGGTTTCAAACCGGCGCCCATATGGGATGCTGGCACTGCAGGCGGTGGCTTTACCTGCTATGCCACAGTGCCGTGCCGCCCCTCCCCCCCCTTTTAAGGTGGGGGGGACACTTGGCTGCATTCTAGTTTCTCCTGTTGCTGTTGGGAATTATGTTAACATTCTAATTGGCATTCTATATCAATAATTATCTCCCATGCAGGCTGCATTTAGAATCTTCTCTTTGTGTGGTAGTCTGTTTTCTGTGCTGTAACTGAATACCACAAACTGGGTGATTTCTGGAGCCTGGCAAGTCCAAGGTGGAAGGACCCCATCTGCTGGGGGCCTGCTTGCTGCGTGGGGTCTCTCTGCAGAGTCTCGGGTTGCACAGGACATCACGTGGCGAGATGGTGCAAGTGTGCCAGCTCGGGTCTCGCTTCCCCTTCTTCTAAAGCCACTAACTGGGGCATGGGGCCCCGCCCTCATGACCTCATCTAACCCTCATGACCTCCCAAAGGCCCTACCTCCAACTACCATGAGCCTGTGGTTCTGAGGATCACTTCATATGAACACATTCAGAGGTGAGTGTGGGGTGCAGTGGTAAACTGTCACTTAGAACACCCGTATCCCTTTTCACAGGGCCTCGTTTGAGTCCTGGCTCTACTTCCGATCGAGTTTCCTGGGTACCTTGGGGGGCTGCAGATAATGTTCAAATATTTGGGCCCCTGCCACCCACATGGACGACCTGGAAGAAGTTCTAGGCTCCTGGCTTCACCCTGGTCCCTTCCCTACCTGTTGCAGGCATCTGGGGAGTTTCTCTCTTTGCTGCTCTGCCTTTCAAATAATTAAATAAATATTTTTTACAAAGTTAGAGATGAAAAAGAAATCATTACAGTTGAGTACCGTGAGCAGATGAGGCCAGAGATCAGGGCGATGCATCTGTACCCCAGGGAACACCAAGGCTGGCCAGCCAAGCCCCAGAAGCCAGGGGAGGGGCAGGGAACAGATTCCTTCTCACAGCCCTGAGAAGGATCCAACCCTGCCAACACCGCGATCTTGAACTCCAGCCTTCAGAACCGTGAGTTGACACACTTACTGTCGTTGATACCTGACCGTGTCAGCTGACTTGTGACAGCTCCAGTGGACCGAGATACCAGAGTGGGATTCTGACAAAGGCTGCAGCTGGCCCTGGCCATCTGTGTCCCACAGCTGCCTCCTCCCCTGTTTTCTTTGCCCCTCTGCTCCTACATGAAGCTCTTCCCCCAACCTCCCCCCACCCCCAATTTCTGCCCAGTGTCCAGCCACACGCCACAGCCCTGTGTGTATTTGTGGCCCAGAAGCTGCTCTTTCCAAATGAATGAACCATCTTCCCCTAAGTGCCTTCCCTGTGTGTGGCTTATTCTCGATGTCACTCACCTCTGAATGGGCTGCGTGACCCACTGACCCCTACCCTGTGTGCCTGAGGGAAAGGCATACAAACCTCAGAAGGGAGAAGGGTCGTCTCTGAATCGGCATATTGGTTCTGCTTCTGGTGCCCGACACACTAGTCTAGGAAGAGAAAGCCATCCTTTCTAAGTGTCACTGTGTGCTTTGAATGTTCTTTGTTGTCCTTGCAAATCTCCTTGGGTTTTTGGTAAAATTAATTTGGGTAAGCAGGGCCTGTTTTACAAATGCTCAAGAGTGGTGGGGCTGAAGGTGGTGGTGATTTGGTGGGGTGGGCAGAAGAGGAGGTTGCCACAGCTGCCTTAGCTGGGGGCACAAGTGAAAGACCCCCCCCCCACAGCCTCTGTAATGGGAACACCTGCTCAGGGAGCCCTCGTGATTTGGCCAGGGGTGGCGTTTGGAGCTTGTGGGAAGTTGGAGAGCAGACACCACAGATATTAGATGGCTGTCTGTGATAGCGCTGTCACTCATTAGCTGTGGCGCCCTGGTGTGCTGGGTGCAGAGACAACCCCTACCCCCAGCTCTCAGCCTCTTCAGGGTCTGTCCAGGTCCAGAGAGCCTGTCGCCCAAGGTCATGGCTTTTTGGAGTGGTCCCCATGCATTTACTTATGGCTGTGGGAGCAAGGTCCTTCTCGCTCTGGAGCTGGCGCTGTCCCTGGGCCTGTATCACAGCCGACTTCACCATCTGCCTGCCTTTCCCTGCGTCTTTCTCTTCCTTCCCAGAGGTCCTTGGTATCAACACCCTGCACACCTATGGTTGGAATGTGTTCCTGCAGAAGTTCCTGTGTTGGAAACAACCCTGAAAGTCACATGTGACAGCATTTGGAGGTGCGGCTCTGGGAGTCCACGGAGCTCAGATCAGATCGAGAGGGTGAGCCCCCCGGGATGGCAACTCCTGACTTTATAAGAGGGGAAGAGACACCTGAGCTGGCGCACGTGCTCTGTGTTGCCAAGAGTTGCCATCTGTTATAATACAGCAAGAAGGCCCTTACCTGATGCTGGCACTGAGCCGCTGGACTTCTAGCCTCCAGAACCAAGAGCCAAATAAACCTCTATTCTCTATAAATCCCCTGGTCTCAGGTATTTTGTTGTAGCAGCAGAAAACCTGCGTGCTCAGCTCTGCATCTGAGTCGGCTTCCCGGGGAACCATGACACTCAAGGAGAGTGACTCGGTCTCCCGGAGCTTAATTAAGCTTTCCTGGAGGTTTGTCCTGCGGATTTCATGTGACACTGCCCGCACGGTCCTGTTACGGGATGAGCCTGCCCAGCATGGGCGGAGGCTGGAGCTTGCCATCGGGGAAGGACGCCAAGTCGCTGCAAAGCATTGTCTTCTGCTTGCCACCTGCACTTGACCGTTCGGAGGTGTGCTTGGTCCTCAGAAGGGTGTCGTGCATTTTCTGGAATCCCTCCAGCTGAGCCAAGGTGGATAGATGAGCTAGTCACGTGCATGGCATAGCAATCCACAGGGTGCTGACGGAAGCGCCACCACAGCCCCAAAGGGAAGAGAAGAGGCAGCTGGGGGCCCCCACGTGGGGCTGCAGCTCTGC